CACGTGCCCAGGTGCTACTTGAGTGGGTGATAGGTGATAGGCACGATGAATTCTTTGTAGTTAGTAAGAATTTGATAGTTTACAAGTGCACCGGCTGGCTAGCTTATCCATCGTGCACGACGTAATCTCCGCATGTGGACTTGCGTCGGTGTTCTTTACAATTGAAAACTTAAAGTCTCTTCTCATTATTATTTGTCAATTCTCGAAGGAACGTTTTATTCAATTTTTAAGTACTTGAGTTCTTGATAGATTCCATATATAGAAATCTATAACTTACAATTAGAATCATCTTCATTAAAATAGAGGTGAAAGAATCCAATATATTTTTGATAGTTCATTTCGTGTGTTCACATTCTACTAATACATATGAGTAACTAATGATCACACGTACGAAATGTTTCATCAGGTGAACATTTCATTCGGAAAGTTAATATAATAATTCGCTGTAATAGCTAGTTTCGCCGGCCGATTACAGGTGAACGGTACGTACATATTTCAAAGTGTGAATCTGTCTGTATGTTAAACTCGGGTGTGGAGTCGTCCCGGGACGGCTTCTGCAGACTCTTGCATCCGAGCAAATGAGAGCCCGTACGTACCGTCGTACCGTATGAGTCTGTTGGTTTGTCTGTTTTGCCTTTCTTAAATATGTACAGGAGGGATATGGTCAGGCAGGCAGGTAATTGACTTCTGGTGCGCCTGTTAGCATGTAAGTAGGTAGGGCCGGGCAGGTTGACGCATTCTCATTTGCGTCTTTTTCTTCTCGCTGTGTTCAACCTGTTCCTGAAAATTTGCGTTCGACCGATCGACAGTGAAATATTGTTTTCACGTACTCGATTCTTCGAATGCCACTCTTGCACGACGTTCTTCGTCACTCACTGGGACAACATCATCCGAAGAATGAAAAGGCTACGGCTGAAGAGGCCCGGAGTACTATATGTACCATTGGAAGAGGCAACTACCAATGATTGTGCATTCAGAAATTGTGTTCATACAATTTCCCAAATGCGGAATCATCCAATTACTACTTTGTCACTATGCTCGTTTTAGTTTATAAGCAAGCGGGCTGGCCACTGCCGCCCCAACGTTATGGGCAATCGCGAATTATTTAGGCGAGTTGCATTAGAGTTGCGAGTTAAAATCACGGTTCGTATTAGAGTCACGATTATCCCAGCTCGCGCTTTACTTAGAATTGCAGATTGAGATATCGATTTTGCAATTAGAGATGCGAGATGCTTGTCACGTTTTAATAGTAGCGTTGCGCATCATGATTACGCGTTTGTTCCTTGTATTTATATTGAATTAGAGTTTAACTTTTCCATTGCTTGTTCCTGTTAAATTTTGCTTCGGATTAAATTAGTTTGATTCATTAGTTTTGTAGCGTCGCGAATTACGAATATCGCGGTAGAGTCGCGCAAAATCAAAAGCCCAAATATTTCACTGATACGGTGAAACTGTTTCTGCGTCATCGACGGTACCATCAAAGTAAGAAGCACGAAGAAGAACAAGAAGCACATCAAGTATATAAGTTCCTTTAAGGATTGCGATTAAGTACCGCGTAAATTTTTGCTACCTCTTCCGTCTTTTGGGTGGGTGAAGAATAGATGAATTAGATACAAAGCAGGGTAAAGCGAAAGTAAGAGCGTAATAATTCTTCAAAAGGTTTCTTATCGGGTTTTAAATTCCTTTTTCTAAGACACGAAAGATAGGGATAAGAAGGATTTAAGATTTAATCAGATTTCTTCGTTGCATTCACATTGAACTGGAGTTTAGTTTTTTGCATTTGTTATTAATATTTGAAGGTATTAAAAAATTGGAACGTTTATTGAAACTCATTTTTGAAGGTATTAAAAAACTGAATTATCCTTAAACTGAACGTTTATTGAAACTCTTTAATATACAACATATACAAGACTGTTGGAATTATACATTGCTTGAGGCTAAATAACTAAAGTAATCTTATAACTAAAATTGATATATATATATATATATTATTTGTGATATAAATGTAGAAAATTATATGTATACATATATCTTCGTATCAAATCATTTCTTGACGTTATTTTATTACTGCTATTCTACATGAATGATGTCCTTATTATTTAAAAAGGACAGAATTTTTTCGAATTTCTCTATGCCAGCACGAGGGCACATTAAATCCTTTATTATCAGTTGGGATAGAAATATGATTCAGATATTCCAGAAATTCTTTTCATAACTTTACTTCGTTGAGCCTGTGAACGAATTGGAATCTCATCGGTTCTCAGGGAACGAACGATGATTACGTAAAATACTGATCATTTATTTTTTTTTTTTATCCCAGGTATACCAACGCAGTAATTTAGATACAGGATTAATAGTAATAACTATTAGATTATGGTAATAAAAATACAGAAGCCGATGGAGTAATAAAGATTGACGTTATTACAGTGGCTAATAATTAATTACGTTTAGCTTTGTCCAAGAGTCTGTTTCTCGAAACGAGTTACATGGAAAATAAAACGAACGATGATACAATAGATAGTAATAACAACAGATAATAATCGGATCGGGCCTCGTTAAAAGCTATAAAAATGAAACAGTAACAACGACGAAGATCGCGATAAATCCCGTCAATCTCGCTATATTTAAGCGCCGTAGCAACCGGCCGCAACATCGTAAAACGAATGGTTCGCTTCCTATTTTATTGTTCCGCTTCCTCGCTTTAACAAATGCATATTTCTATATGCTTCGAGTCGTTTTCCGTCGAACTCGTTAACGGTCTATATCGGTGGACGTAAAATCAGATAATTATGCTGTGTTACTCTTGTACCCATACACGGAATAAGTGTTCTCGGTAAAAACGGTATCGTAAAACCTATCCGCCTCCCGATGTCTCGTATTACTGGATCAACGACTGTCTAAAAAAATGCATTGGCACTTGCGCGTGAAAAGAACGCGATTTAACATATAGTGTTAGCACAATTATCTATGGAAAGAAAATACATGGACAGTGCAAAATATCTTTGCACACGATGCTTAACTCGTATACGTGATCTGGATCAGTTTATTAGCGTCGATGTGATTAAAACAACATAAGGGTATAGCTCGAAAATCTCGTAGACGTCTCTGGTTTCAAAATATAGTTACTCTAACTTCAAATTAAAATTAAACACTGCGATAATATAATGCGCGAATTCTTAACTGGCTAACGAATATACTTAGACGATAGGTAAAGTCGTGAAGAAAAATACCTGAGAATCGTCTTAAAACTTTCATTTGCCACCTTCTGAATAGTATTGCATGTTATAAATGATCATTTAAGCGAGACTCCGATCCAACAGACTTCCGAAAAGGTCCGGCTCGACTTGTAGCAAACCGCTCGCGGTCATGCTCGGCTCGTAGTCATCGAAACCATCGAACGAGGCAATTGGCGAGGCTGGCGAAACGATCGATTGACCGATGAACGCGTTACTTAGTTCCTTCCTCGCGATCGGGCTCAGTTGATCGAAAGGCGAGCTCGATCCACTCGAATCCGAGCATTGCGGCACCATTTGGTGATCCTCCAGGTTCACGATCAACGGCGTAGCCAAACTCTTGGGGTAGATCGAAGGTACGCTTCTCGAGTCCGTCAGCTTCTCCTAAACAATTAGTTCATTATTCATTGTATTCTCGGTTTAATTCCGATCATTGAGCGATGCGTCGTTGAACATTGCGTGACCTTTTCGTAATTTTGTTTACTTGATCTTAGATAACGATAGGGTGCCACATTCGTTAAGCTGGAGTCAGTGTACTTGACTGATAAATGTAATTATTTAAGAGTCATACTCTAGATATCTTCTAAGTAAATTAAAAAAAAAAGAATTTCTTGATTTCTTTCAAAGGATCATTGAGTTACGTTACACCGTTTTATCCGAGAATTAAATATTTGATACTTTACATATCTTTTATTTAATTAATATCGCAATGTTTTACGCCGCACCAAAGTAAACCTCGGCCTTCCAAGAGTAAACGTGTATTTTTGATTTCGTCATAAACGCGTGACGTAGTTTCGTGAAGGGGTTGCTGCGTTTCGTATGAAAGACCAGGAATAGTAAGGATCATTTTTAAACTTGTCTGGGTATTAATTATTATCTTCGTACTTGTTGCGTGTTTCTACACAATCTCTGTTTGAAATAAAACTCGGGCATTTATCTAGCTTCGACAATAGTTAACGTAATTATCGTAAAATAATTATTGTCATATCAACCACGATAAAATCGAATTTTAAATTCACGGAATTCGTTCTCTTTCTCTATTTATTTCACTTGAATTTCAATTTGCACACGTGCGTAACGTGATCGTAGATATTTTATCGTTGATGACAGTGGAAAAAAATTTCCGCTATTTGAGATTATGACTAGCGATCGACGCCATATTTCTCATTTAATCTCTGTTAGAGGAAATGAAAAAAGAAAAAAGCTGGTTCAATAATCTCCGCGATCGATAACGATCGAGTGGTTTAACGCTCGCGATGATATGTTCTACGAAATTGTTGTCGCTCCGTAAAGCTTGACACTTGACACGATGATTGCTAGAAACCAAGAGAAAGTACTCCCATTTTAAAGCGAATTTAAAGTGGAAGATGATTGGAAGAACGGAAGGATGAGAAAGGAGGAAACGAAACGCAGCAGTTCAGATGATTCGATGTTCAATGTTCAATGTATTTGGACAATCTTCAATCAACAATTTCATATACTTTGAAGTAGAATACATCAACATGACTTCAAACAGCGAGACACAGTTTAAACGAACTATTAACCGAGCGAAGTTACGTCACTCTCTCTCTCTCTCTCTCTCTCTCTCTCACTCACTCACTCACTCACTATCTCCGTGCTCTGTTGAAAGATCAACAAGAGATTCGCGTGTGCTATCAAACATCATTGTTCTTCTACCGTCACTTCGACTCTGAAAGTATTCTATATAAACATTCACTCGAGCTTTCTCTCTCCTCGCTCTCTCTCACACACACTCGTTCTCTCGGCGATTATAGTTGCGAATCGCGATTGTACTCTTCTAGAAAAACTTGTAAAACTCGTCGTTGTCGTGGAACTGTATAAGAGCATCGTCTTCGTCGAGACCACCCCTCTAGACCCCTTCGTCATACCTGACGATCGAACAATCACGCCGAAGGTAAATAAAAAAGAGAATCGATCAACGATCCACCCGCGTTCGGAGCGTTCGATCGTCTCCGACGACCTGGTGTTGCTTTTTCGATATTCCATAACGCGAATTGAAAAGCGCGGCTCGCGATCCTTATCAAAGACCCAAAACCGTTCCTGGCAGAAGACATGACTGTTCGTAAATAAAAGGAAACGCGTTTGCGGAGCGGTTCACGTGCTCGCGATGCTCTTGGAGGGCTTTGGTTTCGTGAAGCAAACGTATCCCGCACTCACGTCGCAGCCGGACACGAGGAGATTCATTAGCACGCTGTTGCACGCCGAGTTCCGTTGCGAACTCGGCTTGCCGTCGACGCTCTCCCCGTTTCGACGACACCCTCCATCCTCGTCACCACCGCCACTGTCCCCCTCGCCGTCGTTCAACTCCAATTGCATGCGATCATCGCTTTGCCGACCGTTCACTGTTGAACCGTCGAACGATTCGTTCGCAAAATTGTTCCTGAGGACGTTCTGCTGGGAGACCAACCGACGTAGCAGTTGGCTGCTACCAAGGGTCGACGACTTCCTGGAGGAAGGCTGCTTGCTCAGCAACTGATCTTCCAGGCTACTGTGTTTCGCGGACTCCTCGCACTTGATGCGCTTATTGTCATTTCCCGTGTCGATCGAGGCAGTGTGAATGCGTTTCGTTGGTCTGTCCACCTTGGAAGACCACTGGCAGTTATCTAAATTTGTGTCTGAAACAAAATGACAGGAACCGATTGTATCAGACTTTCAAAAAAAGGCTTCTTACGAATACGAGGCTCAAACTCACTTCTTCGAGGTATTTGACCAAGAACTTGAACCGGATTTACTAAGCCCCCACCGTGATCGTTGTACTTTCTGGAAACAACTTGGTCCGTCTTCAAGAGTTGCGCCAAACTGGAGTCCGATGTCCTCTGTTCCTTCTCTGTTACCATCCTATAAATATTAATTCTGTCAGTCTCTTCGTCGTGCACTTGTTGCATTCGTTCAATTTTCAGTCCTCTCTTATTTCGTACCATTTTAAACAATTCTTCTGATCCGTCGTCTGTGGCGGGCTCCACATCACCATGTCATTACTGATCAACAAGTCGAGCGCTTCGTCTTGATCTGACATCGGGATGTAAGGTGCCCTTAGTGCCATTTCGTCGTCGGCTATGCTGTCGTTCAAACCTAACATTAACATCTCGTCCTCCGACATTCCCTCGGCACCGCTACCGCATGTAGGGCTGCCCAAAGAATCTATGCTCTGTTCCGGGCTCTGCAACGTAAAGCATTGATAGAACCAAAACGAAGGGATGATTTCATATTTTTATCGAACATTCCTCGATTCAAGTAGACGAAGGAGAAACTCGAGTGGTAAACCGTGTTTGATAAGATTTCCACTCATTACGAAGTCCTCGATAGCAAAAGCAGAGAGATAACCCGACTCACTTGACGGTATTTGGTGAGTGGCGGCGAAACAGTGCTTGGATCGATGCTACAAGGACTGCTCGGCGAATCGCCGTACATGAACGGATCGCTATCGGCCAAGGATTCACCCAGGCTCTTATTCCTCGTGGACTCCACCAATTCGGTATCCTTCAGCGGATCGCCGAAATCCGCAGAACGTAGTTCGGGCGCGAGGGTACCGCAGGGGCTCAAGAGGGGACAGTAATTATCGTTGCCGAGGATGAATTCGTCGAGCATGTCCGTGAGGAAAGGCGTGTCTTCGAGGGGAACGCATACGTCGCCCGGTGTAGGCGCCAGGTGTGTCAAATCCTCTGGCTCGTCCTTCAGCACTGTGACAATCCAATTAGAGAAATTAAATTTTGATCGATCGCGGTTTACTTCCGCGACGGGGAACGATCAATTTTATAATTGCCACGCATTTCCAAATCGATCACAAGTTAAAACAAATAATCTGCAGGTTCTTTCTGCTAGTAGAAACGTACACAAAGCAATAATTTACTTCTGGTAATAAATAATCGCGTAAGACCTGCGAGACTCACTCTCGCAGAAATCGTATTTCACCTACGAAATTGTTTGTCCCGACTATAGTATTTCGTTATCAATTCCCGAAGTTACGTATCGCAATATTTATCTGCCGATTATTACGGACTGTGTTTGCTCAGAGAGATACAAAGACGAATGCATCTCAGAAGAAACGTGGTGAAAGGGAAATAGCACTATGGGTTTTTATACTGACTCGTAAGGCCTGGTTGATCCTCGCTGAAAGTCAAAAAGCCTTTGTTCATGTCCTCGGTACGAGGCGCGAATATGCTCGCAGTCGCAGTTTGTGGCGGTGGTCTACAGGTGATCTGTGGCTCTGGTTGAGAAGCGATAGATGCGAACAGGTGTCTGGTGACCACGTGGGGTCTGTCCTGACGTACCGCCGTCTCCGGGTCGTATTCCACCGCCGGTTTACCCTAAATCAAATTTATCCTGATTCACGATTCTCAAGGCAATTGTTTGTGCCTCCATAAACGAATGACACTCCATTTAATGAGATTTAACCAAGAATTTGATAGGATCTTATTCCTTCCTTAACAATGAAGAGACGTCAAATCAATTGTTATTCTCATTAAATCTATCTGAAATCGGAAATATACCTGGAACACGAATGGTTTGGGGGTAGAGGCGGCTCGCTTCGGTAGAGGCTCGCTGTTCTCCTTGAGCGACTCTTCGAGCGAGTCTTTAAGAGCTTGGACACCGATAGATGATTTCTCTGAAGGTTGGACCGGTCTCGGGAAGGTACTATCCTTCCGCGAGCCGTCCTGAAGCTGAACAAGCTTCTTCTTCGGTTTGCTCGCCGGTCCGTAATCCGTACTCGTCGCAGATTGCACGGGATCGAGCGTTTTCGGGATTAATTCCGGTTTCACCGTGGGCAACGAGCACTCTTGCAATTCCTCGTCCTCGAACTCGTCCTCCACGAACTTCTCGGTGTTCAGTTTGACCTGAATCTGAACGTGGATCTGACGTTTCTCGCTCTTCTTCGGTTTCACTGCCTTCGCCTCGGTCTCACGTGCTGCGAGCTGCCGCACGCTGTATACCTCATCCTCGCGCTCCACGCCGCTGTAAACAAAAATTCCTATCCTCATACAAACTGTTGCCGCTCGATCGATCGTCTCTCCCGATCTTTAACTTCGACCAGTGATTTCATATGAAGACAATGCAAATGAGATCCTGCGTAATTAATTGACAAGGATTTGCAACGATCTCAAATATGAGGGAAACAGATCAAAGAGAACTTGAAACATTCGTTTCAAGCTGTTCGACCCGAGCCCGGCCTAGTTTATTCAGCCACGCTACTGTTCCCCTTCGTTCGGCTCGGCTCCTGACCCTCGTACGAACCGAGGCGAGAAGCACATGGCCACGACTTTTTAACTCTGGCGAGCGTCCCTCCGCTTATGTAACAATTACGCTTGATAGGCTCCGGAAAGCTGCGGAACGCGTGCTCTCGAAAACAAGTTCTTCAATGAATATTCTCTCTTTATTATTTACGACGACATTCAATCATGGATCAATTCTTAAACTGGTCATGGTCGAGCCCAACGAATTCCTGATTATTAATATTTAATACTAGTTTCTCTAATCCGACCATAATGCAGCGGACTTAATTGATTGATCGATTTTAATTAACTGGATGAAGAGATTTTACTTCGTTGCTAACATGCCCCTTTTAATCCCCATTACTGGATTGCTTTGTGCGAGATAAAACTTGTATCAATTTAAGAATACTCTTTAATCTTTTAAACATCGTGTCATGTACTTTCTCATTTAATTTTGCTAGAAATCCATAAAATCCGCAATCCAGTCATAACAGTATGAGAAAATACACTTAAAATCTTTCCTCCCATGAAATCTATCTGCGAGGGTTTAACGTTTATCTTTATGGCTTCGCGATATCTGGCGCTAGACTCCGAATCCGTGGATCGAGTTTCGCAACCCCTTCAGATAAAGAAAATATGTATTACGCGTTCGGTGCACGTGAACGATGGAATTGCATCTTGCAATCGTTATGAAACGTTGTTACACCATCGGACCCTGTCGCGAATTGCTACTACGAAGATAAAATCGTTCCCTTATCGTTTCAAGACTTTCCTCCCAGCGAAGATGGGAGATTTAGGAGAAATTCAGTACAGCCATCTCTGCGTTGATCTACGTTCAGGAGTCTCGCGGCTGCGTACGGGTTATCGCGAAGGTGAAGGCTACTTTAAGTATCGTTCGATCAAACGGCAGCTACTGTGTAACGCGCATGTAAACGAATCGGCAAGGAATATTGACAAAAAAGGAGAACTTCGGTCACCTCGACTTAATTATTTATAATTGTAATTGCCTTTGACGACTTGCACACATTGACAGAAAAAAAGCGGAAAAGCCACTCTCACGTAATACAGTCCTCAACTGTGTTTTTATTCCGAGGAAAGGAACGCACGCGATCGAATCAATCAGATATTTTTGTTTCCCGCTGGAATTGAACGCAGTAGAAAAGAAAGAGGAGGCGGCGGAAAACGAGTAGTCGCGCGCGTTGTGCAGCCAGAGTCGAGCACTAACTAACTTTAACCAGTCGCAACGGCTTGGTAATTGTCGCAAATTGACCAGCGGGGCCCCAAACGTGGAACGGTAGGAGCGCTTTGTGGATGCGTGCAATCACGCAGAGAGAATCTCGGCGGGAAAGCCTGAAGTGTGTACGAGACTCTCGTTGATAAATAATTTCATCTTTTATAAAACGAATTCGAAGATGAACGGGGAAAAAAGAGACAAATTTTGATCACAGGTTTATCAGAAAAAAATGGAGATTTTGTCATCGGATAAAAAATTAATGAATCAGTCGTTTCGGTCGGGGTCGAGCACCTCGTCGGAAAGGCGTGATCCACGAGGCCGCGGCAATCGTGTATTCCTCTACTTGAGCGAGGGGCTCGACAGAAATGATCATCGTTCGCCAAACACGAAACAGTCGGCCAACTAAAAATAAGCCCCACTCCAAGTCATGGTTTTTATCGTGCCACGCGTCGTTATGCAAGCCTGATTCGCGAATCCCGCGGCCCTCATGATCTAATCATCCCTGGAATTCACGGACAGCAAAGTCGGCCAGGTTCGAACTTTCGAATCGCGGCAATCCCGAGAACATTTCTATGGACAGGTGTTTATTATAGCTGGCAGTGCGATACTACTGGACTAGGAGACGTCGATTCCGAAGTCTCGAACAGGGGAAACCAACGAGAGAGAGAGAGCGAAGCACGAGTGAGATATTAGGTTGAGTTAGGTACAAGTTAAATATGCGGCCGGTATTGTTAAAAATAGAGTGACGGCCGACCGCCGGGTTACTTGTGCAATCGAGCACGTGGGATCAATCCCCTCTTCGCTTCAGCGATTACATTTGATAAATTCCTTTTCGGCAACTCGCTGATCATCGGAAAAATGTTTCCCGTTCATCGTGTCGCGATTTCACTCGATCATCCGCGGTTATAATTCTACTCGCGATATTTACATTTCTTACTGGTAACGAGAATTCACGAACGGATCGGGAGGGAGAGAGAATATTTGCCAAAGATTTTGGCACGAGTCGTGATCGACACGCGTTCTCTTTCGCTTCTCGGCCTTTGCCTCGTTCTCGCCCTGAGAAAAAGGGATCCGTGCTTTGGCATCGAACGAATGGATGTCACGAAACATCTGGATAACCAGAACGGTACGACCAAAATTCAGATTCAAATGATGGCGAGAAAGCATTTAACGAATAAAGCATCTCTGAAGCGATGTCAGTTTGAAGACTTTATTTTCTCTCACCAAGTGTCAAAATCTCTTGGCAACTAACGTTCGACCGATCGTTCGTTCTTCGACGATGTTGAACAACGAATTTATTAGGATCGAGGATCTTTTGTTTAATAAACGGAGCAAAGCGAATTGGCATGGTCCAAGGGACTTGCTCTGCCCTTGAAGCGGAAACGGGGCACGCGCTTCCGCAGAACACGCGCGAAAATAACGTTCGTCAACGCGAGATAGTCAGACTAGAATTTTGGCAAGCGCTGCCACGGAACGAGCCTCCGGCCCGTCTGACGTGTACGGTAGACGTAGTGATCGCGTGACGAGAACCGGGGGCGTCGATTAAAAACTCTGTTACGTGTTTACAATGGTTTTTGCGATCGGGTAAGAAAATGAATCGTGTCCGGTTTCGCTCGTACTAGCCACGGGAAAAGATCCTACCTCTCTGCGTGTGTTTGCCACCGGGTTCGAACGGCGAACGACGCGTCGTTACGTAATGAAACGCAGTCACGACGCTGGTGCTCCGTGAAAATTGATCGATCGCGCGATCCGAGTGCGAGCGGCTACCTTCCATCGGATTCGTTGAACGCGTTAATAAAGTCAGCAATGTGTAGCTTCTTCTCTTAATTCCCGTTCGTTCTTTATTCCTGTATTATTGACTATAACTGTTCGACGAATAAATATAATGATCTGGTAATAAACAGAAACCAGCTTCGTCCCAGTGCCAACACACTCTTCTCTTATCTGTATCGTTGACAGTAATCGAAGCGTATGAAAGATGGTCGAGGAAAGTGATTTGCGTTAAGGCGAACCAAGTTAATGAAGGAAAAACGCGTTCTGTTTACGCGTTCACAGACGGTCGACCGGACCAGGGAAATTCGATATACCTCGTGCTAGGAAAATCTAGAAGAATCCTCCTCCTGCCATCGTCTGTTTTCCTCCAACAATTTTCTCTGTGGGAGACTAGGAACTCTATCCGTCGCACCGATCGATACTACCATCCGATTCACTTGTAAACAGTTCTTCCTGCTCGATCTTTCTTCAAAAATAAGCTTTCTATCGTGGAGGGTTTGGCTTTAGGTGAACGAAGGGGCGAGGTACGAGGGGGGTGATAGAGGAACGCGAGATTGAACCGAGGAGGTCGACAGGATTCGAGACGGTATCTTAAACGCACTTTCCGGCAAATGTCCGTAAGCCGCGCGATTACCACCAGCACTGACACACTGCCAGCGTGAAACGTTGCTGCGCTCGCACTGGCGAGTTGCGAGTTTCGCTCTTTCTGTCTACGTACTGCCTCTGAGGCACTTGCTGCACTTGCCGTCCGCGTCGCGACTCGCGTTACTCATTCAGTCGAACAATATTAATAATACAATCCCAATCGTAGAAACAAGGTTCGTCTAGGAAAATCAGGAGTCGCTCCTTTAGGCGAACGACACCAAAAAGCGTATTTATGCGATCGTACGTAGATCAATTGAATTTTCTAGTTCTTAATTGCTTTTGATGCTGCGATAATAAAGCGATATTTCGCTCAACGCCTTTCATGGGAAATTCTGAATTTGGAAAATTTCTTTCTACAACCATGCAGTAGAAAAGAGAATTATTCGCGTGGACATGATATAAGCATAAGAATGATCTGAATATTCATGGCTAGAGTTATGCCGTCAATATCGCAAGAAACGAATTTGCAAGTAAACATAAGATTCCGTACGTCGGTAGAGAACGGACGATGGTTCTAGCCGGGGCAAACACACCGCGGAATTCGGGTATATGCGAGCGTACGCGCGCACTTTCAGTTCCGGTTTTAATAATTAAATGTACACGTGACGGAAGCCGGTATCACCATTGAACGACCACACGCGAACCACTGATTAATACGATCAGTGAAATCGAAGAAGATATATTCGAACGCGTTCCATTTTTACCATTCAGAATTATTATCGATAGTCGCAGTTTCAAGGAACTCTAAGTAAATTCGACCCCAAAAACGTTGTCGGTTATTCACTCGGATTTCCGCACCTCTTATCAGAAACCTTGCCGAAGTTCCTCTGGTAAAGAGTCACGGTTCCTGCATTTATTCAACCCAACACACTGTGAAAATTGAACACTGGATCTACGGTGAATCGGTAGTAAAAAGAATTCTATACTTCGTTATCTAAAAAGTGGGTATCACGTGCCGTTTTGCCCGACGATTTCGGAGACGTCTGGTTCGCGTTTAACGGCGAGTCACGCGATCGGAGAACGTCGATCGAACTGGCAGCGAAGCGGCTCGGTGCTCGCGGCTAGCGAACTACTGCGAATTAAAGAATTTC